TTTTTAATTGGAAAAATTTGAATTTTTTTTTAGAAATTTTTAATGTAAAATTAATTTCAATGTGGTTTCTATATTTTACGTGTACCTTGTTTTAATATTTTACTTAAAGTTTCCTTAAAAAAGCCTMATTTTTCATCAACAATAAATCTTCTCTTCTACTACGTTTTCGTTACACTCTACATTGACGCCTTTCTACTCATCCACGCTCTGATCGTCGCTGCAGTATGCACATAGCCTTAGCCAAACAACTCATTTGCGTCGCACGATCTCCCCTACCAAGTGAATGTGCCCACACACAAATATACATACATACACACACATGCACGCAGGCATGAGCGTTTCAAAATAAAAATATTGTTAAAGTATAAAATTCTATAGATTTCCATATAATATAGAATAAGTATGTGGGATTTTTGTTAARTTTTAAATGCAGTGTTTTCAGTCAGTTTACGAACGCGCGCTGACACCGGCGCAGTGATTGAGGCGACTGGTGAGTGGCGAAGGGTTAACGAAATTTGTTTCTCTAAAAAAGTTGTAAAAAACGTGTGAAATCTCAACGCTTCAGCTATTTTACAACTATCTAATTTGCAGCTGTAAATTTGCAATCTAAAATAATTGCCGTCATATTGGAAAAGCGCGAAATCTGCCACAAGTGTGCGAATAGCCTAAAGCTTAGTCAGTTGTTTTACCATTTTTGTCTCGGCAAACCAACAAAAGTGAGTTAATACGGTTACATCAGCAGCTAAATGAAACATATTGGAATTCTACTAATTTAACGGTGAATATTTGTTATTTAAAAACTAAAATTTCAAAGGAGACACAATGGGCTTAGGTAAAACTACAGCAAAGCATTTGTTGTTGCTGCTAAATTTCATATTTACGGTGAGTAATAGTTAAAGTATTATTTTCATTTAATTTCGTTTTTTTGTATGGCCTTAATTGCAGTGGGGAGTAATACAGCGCGTACGGCATATGCATCTATAAGAATATTCACGTACCCTGCTGGAAAAATTTTAAGTGGTGTAGATTTAAATTGGAATTGCATTACTTTCAATTTTTGAAGTTTTGTTGCACTAATAACTGTGCTAGTAGAAAAATTTTTTGTAGTCACATATGAGAAAAAAAATTTAAATAATTTATTATTTTGTTAGCTTCACTAATGGAAATCTACATATTTTTCAATTTTGTCTAAGTTCTTATCATGTGGGTGACATTTTCCATATATAGCAGAGCAACCTCGTTGGTATTTCCGCCAGCATAATTTGATTTCCTGCAGGGTATGTTGCTATTTATAAATCTGTGGTGAATGTG